CTTTGGGTAGTATAGCCATTTTGACAATATTGATTCTTCCAATCCATGAACACGGTATATTTCTCCATCTATTTGTGTCCTCTTTGATTTCTTTCATCAGTGTTTTATAGTTTTCTATGTATAGGTCTTTCATTTCTTTAGGTAGATATACTCCTAAGTATTTTATGCTTTTTGTTGCAATGGTGAATGGTATTATTTCCTTAATTTCTCTTTCTATTTTCTCATTGTTAGTGTATAAGAATGCAAGGGATTTCTCTGTGTTAACTTTATATCCTGCAACATTACTGTATTCATTGATTAGCTGTAGTAATTTTCTGGTAGAATCTTTAGGGTTTTCTATGTAGAGGATCATGTCATCTGCAAACAGTGAGAGTTTCACTTCTTCTTTTCCTATCTGGATTCCTTTTATTTCTTTTTCTGCTCTGATTTCTGTGGCCAACACGTCCAAAACTATGTTGAATAGTAGTGCTGAGAGTGGACACCCTTGTCTTGTTCCTGATTTCAGGGGAAATGCTTTCAATTTTTCACCATTGAGGATAATGCTTGCTGTGGGTGTGTCATATATAGCTTTTATTATGTTGAGGTATGTTCCTTCTATGCCTGCTTTCTGGAGAGTTTTTATCATAAATAGATGTTGAATTTTGTCAAAGACTTTTCCTGCATCTATTGAGATAATCATATGGTTTTTATCTTACAATTTGTTAATGTGGTGTATTATGTTGATTGATTTGTGGATATTAAAGAATCCTTGCATTCCTGGGATAAAGCCCACTTCGTCATGATGTAAGATCTTTTAAATATGTTGTTGGATTCTGTTTGCTAGAATTTTGTTCAGGATTTTTGCATCTGTGTTCATCAGTGATATTGGCTTGTAGTTCTCTTTTTTTTTTTTTTTGTGGCATCCTGTATATACATTTTTTGATTGCAAGGAATTTTTTTCCCCAAAAGCATCTTCAAACTTTTGCAGCCAAGGGTATTTTATACTATCCACCTCATAGTATGGACTGATTCTCTCACCAAATGGACCTTTAAAGAGCCAAGGGGAGGAACTCAATGTCAAGTCAGCATCCTTGCCCATCTCAGGAGTTGTGGCAATAACTGTGATCCTTTTCTGTATTCCACTGTCAGTAAATGACCCCTGCCTTGTTTACCCATCCAGTTCAGTCATGCTGTGAATAGACAACTACTATACTTTGACCTCTTCCAGGCTTTCGGAGGATTACAGCTCTTTCCCTGAGGGACAGGTTCAATAGCTAGACCCTTTCTACATCTCCTGTTCTCAAGCTTCTAGTTCTTTTTGCCCTTCATTTCTGTGGCCTCTTTATGAAGCTGATCCACCCTTGTAAATTTTCTGAAATTCAGACCTTCTTTAAGCTGTTACATTTACTCTGCTCTAATCAAAACTTTGATATGACTTTTCAGTCCCATTCTCTGTGCAATGATGACCGCTATTAGCAAATAAGCGTTTTCAAGTTGTTCCATCATTTTATTAATACAGGGCTTCCTGGTATTCATCTTTTCCAAATGAAAACCCATCTTTGGTTCAGAAATAATTATTGATACACGTTACTGATCATTTTTTATACATTACCTCAGTTGGCCAACATAACAGATATTACCACCTGTGTTCTAAGAACAGAAAATGGAGATGTAGAACAAATTTAGTTCTCTGGAAGCAGACATCAAAATAAACTACAGATCAACATCTGTGAAAGAAAAGTGGTGGAAGGGAGATTGGGCAGAGAAAGACGTCAAACTCTAAGCCTGACATAATCTTAGCTGTGTCAACTGGGAGTTCTGAGTCAAGGACTGGCTATCAGCATCCCATGTGGAGTCAATATGGCTGGCCATTTATACAGTTTCCTTGTGCCATCACTGGATGCAGGCTGTTATGGGAAAGCATGAGCTTGGACAAGGGGAATCTCAGCTGAGCAGATCCTGGAGGAGGATACACCTGGATGCTCTCTGTTGACTGCATTTCCCACAGCTAAGAGCAAATCTGTCCTTGAAAAGAAATCTGAGTGGTGTCTTATGTCTACCACAGGCTCTAAGAATCTGGGAAATGTATTAGAGAGTCTGTAGGTAGTAAGTGGCAAAGATTTGACAGCGAGTCTTTTGTGACTCAAAAGTCCATGCTCCCTGATAACTTATAATTGGTTTACAAATATTTATCCAAACTGGTTACACCAGAATCACCTTTAAAATAGGGATTTCTTTAAAACATGAATATTTGGCTCTAAGGACTCCAGCTCTGGAGGTACAAAGGGCCAGTCATTCTGATAAAAGTCATAAATAGATATCTTTTTAAAAATACATTAGGTGTTACATAATTTTTTTTCCAAATTTTATCTAATTAGCATAGATATTTTTATATGAAAAAATCTTTATAATAGGGAATCATGAAGGTTTTAGCTGAGATAAACAACACTTTTAGAACTTCTTTCTGATTTGGGATAATATCCTGTGATCCTTGGCCTTGTGGCTTACGTCTTTTGACTTCTGGGACAATTTTAAAGGCACAATGAGCTTACCTCAGCTGCTATAGGTCATTTGTATTCCACCTTGAGCATGGGAAAGAAAGCTGTATAAATATTACATAAATATTTTGCAGGATGTTTACTCCAGTAATGGAAGTACTAAGAAGCTATATGTAGTTGCTCTGGGTTACAGTGTGGTGGTTGAAATGCCTAAATATTTAAGTCTCAACAGTAAAGGCTGATATGAGGAAAGTACAGTGCTGGTTGACTGAGCTCTTAAAAATCAGGAAAAGTGATTTTTCATTTTTGGGCTTCCAATCATTCACAGTGTCTATTTGAATCAGTAAATACATGATAACTGTCTTTTAACCTCAGTGTTGGTGATTTAGCCACTAAGTCATGTCAGACTCTTTACAACCCCTGTTGTTCACCAGGCTCCTCTGTCCATGGGATTTCCCAGGAGAGAATCCTGGAATGGGTTGCGATTTCCTTCTCTAGGGGATCTTCCCAACTCAGGGACTGAACCTGCGTCTCTTGCATGGCAGGCAGATTCTTTACTGTCTGAGCCACCAGGGAAGCTCTTAAGTTAACCTTTAATTTTAAGTACTTAAAGTCATGAAATTTGGCCTTGGAAGAAAATCACCAGTCTCTCAGACAAAGACTTACAAAATCAACTTTTGTCAATGACCACATATGTCACAAATCTAGATTTTTCACTTGGAATCTCAAATGATTGAATTTATCTTCTATTATTAGAAGTGGAGTTGACGAAAATGATTCCACATTGATCCTGAGCTATCTGATCTTGAACTTTTCCATTTCTTCCTTTATTGTTTCTACTCTATTTAATTCAGATAGTAACCACACAAACAATGTTGAAATTGGAAGTTTCCTTTAGTTGATATGCAAGATGTTATTTAGCTCAAAACTTGAATATTTAGAGAAAACATGTAGCCAATACTAATGATGATCTCATACCATTGATACTTATTCATAGACTGAAGACAGTTGCCTTTCCTTCCTTTGTTGAGGCAGGGTTTCTTATCACTCATTTTCTCCATAACCTCAGATGAATCTCCACTGGCCTAATGACAGGAAGCATTCTCATCTTTTTATGACATGATGTTTGGGAAGACAAATCTAAAATCTCTAACATAAAAGAAGTTTCACAATCACAAATTGTGAAAAGGGGGGGAAATGTATACTTACCATAGGTAGTTTTTACCATGAATTTTCTGACCTTGATTTGATTAAAATCTCAACCTAAATATTTCACCAATATAAATTTCTTTAGAATTTAATTGTTCATTTCACTGAACTTTGAATGAGAAAAGCCCCAATGTGGGACAAAAAGGCTGACACAAAAGGAGTATTTAAGGGCTGAACTGCTTTACGGATTGAAGCATTTGAAACTGAACAGCCAATTTGACAAGAAGCAAAAACCACAGAACAGAGTACCGCCTAGTCTTTGTTTTGTTTTACAAAATATTTGGGCTCTTCTTACTGTCCTCTCCCACCTCCTCTCTCTTTATTTATTTTATAGATGTCATTGAAGTAGATAACCTGATCCAACTGTAAGACTCAGGGGAGGAAGGGAAGCTTTCTACCTGAACATCCCTGATATAAACAGGAAATGAAGACATCACTCACTGTGCTTGAAACTGGGAAATTGTTCTGGGGCTTCTTCCTAATTCCTCATGTAGGCATTTGGAGTATCAATGGTAAGACAGCGACTTCTTATATATTTCTCAGGGGATGTTGGAAGCAATGTTCTCCCTTGCTGATCTTAGTAGGATATAGTGTTTATGCCTAGTGGATAGTGGTAGATGAAACCAAGTAGTTGGATTTACTCACTGAAGACATGGTAGAGAGAACATAGACCAAATTAGAAAACAGTATTTAAGTCAGAGTTTGGCTGGTTTTCTTAAAAACATATTCTGATGGTAAGAACAGAGAATTGGGCAGATGCTATAAATAGTTCAGTACAAATTTATCACTATACTAGCAAAAGTGTTCTGGATGCCATGCTGATGGTGAATAAATAGCTTCTTCTTTTCAAACTGAGACTAGAGGAGTGTTGGTTAGGTTAGGTGTTGGATAACTGGAATTATACATGACTCCATGGTTACTCTGGAATGGTGGTTTAGTCGCTAAGTCATATCTGACTCTTGCAACCTCATGTACAGTAGCTTGCCAGGCTTCTCTGTCCATGGAGTTCTCTAGACAAGAATACTGGAGTGGGTTGCCGTTTCCTTTTCCAGAGGATCTTCCAGACCAAGGAATCGAACCTGGGTCTCCTGTGTTGCAGGCATGTGGCTAAATAAAATCTCCTTAATTACTTCATGGGGCATGTGCCTTGAGAATACTGAATGACAATGCAGAGAAATATGAGATCAGTGCATTCTGTCGCTGCTTTTATTATATTGAAGGTGAATGGTGTCATGTGATATAGAAAACAGCTTGAATTCTGCATTGATGTTGGGCCACTTTTGCAAAAATTTTATACAAGTGAAAAAGTGATGAGTTCACTTGCTCCTTTACTTTGTCAGAGATGCCTGCATATTGTAAAGAGGGAGGGGCAGTGAAAGACAACAGAAGTTTCTAATTTCCTAGTTTCAAATAGCCTGCCTTATCCCCACAAGCACATACTCTTATAAGTTTCAAATCAGAAAAGAGGGTCACTGAAATCCTTTAACATGTCATCTTCAGTTCTGAAATTGTGCTTTGGAATTTGTCTTCATGATACCAGGATGGCACACAAACAGCTGCAAAATTAAAAAATCCCCTTCTCTTGAGCATTTTTATGTTTGTAAGTATTTGGTATTATGGGGCTTCCCAGGTGTGCAGTGGTAAAGAATCCACCTGCAATGCAGGAGACTCGGGTTCAATCCCTGGGTCAAGAAGATTCCCTGGAGGAAGAAATGGCAACCCACTCCTGTATTCTTGCCTGGAGAATCCCATGGACAGAGGAGCTTGGTGGGCTACAGTCCATGTGGTCACAAAAGAGTTGGACACAACTGAGCACAACAACAACAAATTTGGTATTGTGCTGATGAAATGTTTAGATGGTTGGCTGTATTTTTCACTTTAGTTACAACTGAAGTTAAATATTATTTAACAGAAATCATACCAGTTTGAAGAATGTGCAGTGCTGTATCACACAGGGAGTACAGTTCAATTCTGCTTCTCCTTTCAATGTGTGTTAGAACTGGGTTCATTGACTGGCTCTGCCACTTTCTGTGTGACCTTGGTTCAGTTTCTTATCCTCTCTTATCCTTAGTTTCCTCACTTGTAAAATAGAGATAATAATAATTTACTTAAATTATGGGGCTATTATGAAGACTACAGATACAATAGGTAAAGTGTATAGCATAGTAAACTCACATAATAAAAGCTTGATAAGTGTTGGACACAACTTAGTGACTAAACCACAACATTAATGTTATTTTTGCTAATATTCTTTACACCAAACAACCCACACAATATTCAAATAAATGGTAAACAAGTTTTAACATTATCATTTAAAATAGTTGGGGTTTTGAAGCTAAAAATAGAATGAATAAATGAAGTATATTGTACAATATATTTAGCCCAAAGTATAGTGACTCGAATTATTTAAACAGAAAGCCTTGGACAAAGGAATAGCCAGATAGCTTATATATGTTTTTGGATTGCAGCATTACTTGAATTAAATTAGGGGTATAGGTTTTTGAGGGGTTTCCCAGGTGATGCTAGACTCAATGGACATAAGTTTGAGCAAACTCAGGGAGATAGTGAAGGATAGGGAAGCCTGGCATGCTGCAGTCCATGGGGTCACAAAGAGTAGGACACTACTCAGTGACTGGACAGCAACAATATAGGTTGGTGACATTTGTACTCCTGACAGCTGATGACTCTATTCCTTTAAACCTCATTTATTTTAACCTTTGTATCTTAGGGATTTCCTGTGATTTAGTTACTGAATTCTTTACACAGGCACAAAGTTTCAAAGTCTTTAAGAATAATTTTAAAATAATGTTTCCCTTCCACTTCAAAGCAATGTGAGTTATGTGTATATCTTCCTAGGAATGTGGCTGCATCAATAATAAGGTTGTGAAAAAGGTAATGTTCTCTACAAACTTCCTGTTGAAGGTCCTCCTTTATAATGAAATAATTCTTCCTTGCATTTTGTGTTTCTCAAAAAAAGTTAGGGGGAACTTGTCCCTTTGTATCTGATGTATGATTTCTGTCTGGATGAAAGTAATAGAAGTGTTAGCACATATACACGGACAGATGGGCTGATTATGCTGGCAAGAACAAGGCTCCAAGTGGAGATGCTCTTGTCAGTCACCTGCCCCATCCTCAGTGGGTGACTCCAGCTGAGAGGTCCTGGACCACTTAATGCTCAACTTGTTCAATTTGAGCATCAACCAAGGATTCCAGCATCAAGCAGCCAGGAGCACTGGTTAATGTCTGGCTACTCCATAGACTATACACGTTCTGAGTAAAGGCAGGAAGAAATCTTGAATCCGTATTCCACCTTCCTCCCAGATCATGTTTCTCCAGTATGAGCAGGCCATATCCTTGGGTCAGAGCAGAAACGCTGGGGCAAAAAGTGCTTGGAATCTCTCATTCCTTCATATTCTGGTTTTGTAACACAGTGTCTTTACCAGGCTTATTTATCTGGATATGCTTATTTGTTCCTCTTGAAATACACATGTTTTATGCCAGAAATAGAGCTCAGCCTTCTGCCAAATGCCTGTATACTGTTATCACCAAAGTGCCTGCTGTAGGATATGACTAACTTATATGTAAATGTCTAGGAATACATTCTGCAGCTACAGGATTTCCTGGATTAAGGTTTGAAAAGACTAATTTCTGTGTTGATCACAGCCTTGAATAGACTTTTCTAACACTGAACTCTTTAATTAATTATTACTTCCTCTATCCTACTATAAAAATTTCCTCTATTGTAATATTGAGTCAGTTTATCTTGCTTCTCTGGGACTTTCTGACTTAATTTCCATCATTTGTGAGTTTCACCTTTACTTATATTTTGGAGTAAGTAAATGTTGAAAGAAAAATATTCACAGGCATTTGTAACCAGGTTCAAAAATAAAACCAATCTTTTGCTTTTTTTCTTGGAAAGGCAATGGTAGAGCAGGTAAGATCATTCTAGATTACTCTCCCACCTCTGCCATTTACTGCTTCTGTGATTATAATCTCTCCAGTTCTCTTTCCTCATCTAAACAGTGGGGACAACAGTGAAATTGAACTTATAGGGATGTTGTAAGTAGTAAGTGAATTAATTCTGTAAAACTGTTAAAATAGTGCCTGAAGCTTATTAGCTAAAATTACAGTAAGTGCTATGTAAGTTTACTGATAATGGTTTAGTTTTCTTTTTTTCCCCATTTAGTACCAAACCTTATTAGCTTGATAGTCTCCTTAAAGCAGTATTGGGAGATCATCTCTCATTTGAGGTTTACAAAAAGTTGTCTATAAACAACTCTTTTTTTTTAAATTTTTTTTTCCATTTATTTTTATTAGTTGGAGGCTAATTACTTTACATCATTACAGTAGTTTTTTGTCATACATTGAAATGAATTAGCCATGGATTTACATGTATTCCCCATCCCGGTCCCCCCTCCCACCTCCCTCTCCACCCGATCCCTCTGGGTCTTCCCAGTGCACCAGGCCCGAGCACTTGTCTCATGCACCCAACCTGGGCTGGTGATCTGTTTCACCCTAGATAATATACATGTTTCAATGCTGTTCTCTTGAAACATCCCACCCTCGCCTTCTCCCAGAGTCCACAAGTCTGTTCTATACATCTGAGTCTCTTTTTCTATATAAACAACTCTTTTTACCAAAAAATGTTATTTATTTATTTGGCTGAGCTAGCTCTTAGTTTCAGCTTGTGGGATTTTTTTTCTTTCTAGTTGTGGCTTGTGTGATCTGGAGCTTCCCAGATGGTGGAGTGGTAAATAATCTGCCTGCCAATGCAGGAGATGCAGGTTTGATCCCTGAGTCAGGAAGATCCACCAGAGAAGGAAATGGCAACCTACTCTAGTATTCTTACCTGGGAAATCCCATGGACAGGAGAGAGGAGCTGGTGGGCTACAGTCCACTGGGGTCTCAAAGAGTCAGATACCACTGAACAACTGAGCACACACATGTGGGATCTAGTTTCCTGACCAAGAATTAAACTTGGGACCCCTGCTTTGGGAGGATGGAGTCTTAGTTTCTGGACCATCAGAGAAGTCACTATAAAGAGCTCTTGATATCATTATCTCCTTGGTTATATACTCTGATTTCCATGCTTCTCTATGTACACATAGAGGGGACTGTGTACACATGCAGGGGAATCGTGTTAGTATGCTCAGAATCTAAACATGTACAATATGAGGTTCACATTGAACACAGACAAGGAGAGTGATAGAAGAGCCATCTAGACAGTTATGGAGAAACATTAGGTTTGTCTGGTAGAGCTCTCTAACTTCTTTTCTCATTCCTGATAACCACATTTACCTTGTAAGCCTAACGTGGAACTTGAATATATCACAAACAACCCATTGTTCAGAAGTAGCTATGAGGAGGGCTGGGACATTTAGGTTCTAGCTGGGTGGTGATTATCCCATTTCTTTTCCTTCTGTGAGAAAGAATTGGGAGAATTAATATTGGAGGACAATTGGCAGTTTCTGCCCACATTGAAAATGCTAAGTATCTTCTAGGGCTTTGAAGATGCCAATG